TTGCGGCGGTGGTGGCTAATATTAGGAACTTAGGGTTTTTCAACAGGTAGAGCCACGTGCTGACTACATTTTAGCCAGTGACTGCCCTCTCCCTAACCTCCCGTACCTTACCCTTGTCAGCGGTGTCAATATTACCATGAACCTGGTCCTTTGTGACCCAAAACCGAAGACGGAATGCATGCAGCTTTCCTCTTCGTGTCCAAGTATACAACTTATGACATCCTCTTATCTTCAACTAGAATCCCTGTCGAGGATTCCTTATCCGTGGCTCACACTGTTTCTCGAAATCAGCAGTCTTAACGACATGTGTGTGGTTTTTCGCTTCGCCTGACTTCTACATCTCGTCAATATTTATTGAGGTTGCTGCCTGGCCACTAATCCTGATGAACGGCAAAGAGGTGCGCGGCAGGATTAGGTGGAGTCAAACGCGATGTGGCGTTAGTAGACAGCCGCTCTCGCCGCCTTCCTTTTTTATCATCTTTACGTTTGTAACCCATCAATCTTCTATTCGCAACTCTTCTCCTTACCTTTTGCCTGCCTAATATAGATACCGGGCACATCCTGAGAGTGGGGTACGATTCCACACTAAATTTGTGAGGGCGTAGGCGTCTTTTGCAAAAAAAAAAGCCACGCTCGCTTGCCAGGACCTCATATTTGTTACATTTGCCTTTCCGTGTTCTTCCGCGTTGGCAGATTCAAGCAAACCTTGGGGAAGCTTGAAGAGTAAAATTCACGGTCATAAACTGTGAAGTATTGCGCTGGAAAATGAGATACGTTAGTTGAGCTCCAACTTGAGAAATTGAGGGAGGAAACATTACGAGGCTTCAAGATAAATGTTCACTCTGAAATGTGGGGGGGGGGGGGGAAAGGACCCTTTCTTTGCCCACCATCCCTAACCCCCACCTATATGAGGTATGAGGCTTCTACGGTGCTCAACGAGTCGTGCTAGTCGGATGCTAATCCAATCTGCTTTAAACGATGAAAAATTGTGTGAAAGTTAAGATCTTCAGTGATTAGAAATCGGTTCGTTGAAACCTTAGGCAAGGAAATGCTAATAGAAACTTGCTTGGGGGGGGCAGGGGGGGGAGAACAGCTGCCAACTCTTGGACCCAAATACGAAGAAGCATCTTCGGAAGGGCTACAAAAAATTCCCAATTTATTGAACCTTCGCGGAAAGTTGCATTCTCTAGATCCTTTCAACTGGATTCAAGAGTTAGGGCGCTTTTTTCGTTACCTCAACCTTTTTGTCCATTTTTTTGCAATTTGCTTATCTACGACAAATTTCGCCTTCGAACTCCTACATAAATATACTTCATCAGCTCTCTTTCAAGCTACATTAAATGAATTAATAAATAAGTAAATGAGCGAGTAATATAGGTGCATTTTTCCCAATGAAAGTCGGGAACACTCTACGTCATGGGAAGTTGTAGAGTGGACGGAAGTGGACTGGCGGGGCGTGGGATTCGGCCGATGGTGAATGAATGAGGAGTCTAAGGTTTATGGAGATGTTGAGAGAATGGGAGCGGAAATCACAAGACCAACCTTTCTCGCTCATTTGCTCAGACCAGTTCGACTACGTTGTGATGCTCACTTCCCCTTTCTCACCTTACTAAATTATGTGACTAAATTGTATGTCAGACTAATTCTGAACTGCTCTGCCAGCGACGCTTTCTCATTGCATTCTCTGATCTTTACCCTACTGAGGCAATAATAGGCGCTTTGAGAGGGAGGGGAAGACATTTGAGTGAGTGAGCCGCTTACAGCACTTGGGACTGAGCCTTAAAGAGGGGAAGAGGTTCTGCGGGAGCATGAGAGCAGTCAGCGTTTTCCCTGACGCTTGTCCCCTCCCCTGGGCTTAGCCGTAGTGTCAGCTACCATGGGTCCTGTTTCGAATGTCTCCCCAAAGTTCATGAGGACCTGGTGAAATTAGTTGCAAAAGATTTCTGCCTTTACTTATCTTGCTGGCCAAAAAAGCGACACTTCAATTCGTCGACTTTTGACGCTGAAATGACCAAACTTTATTGAATACTGACTGGATATCCCCACCTAGAAAATCAAGCAAACATTCTACTCGATCACGAAACTCTTCAGCACCTTTTGTACGACGAGATCGGAAACTCTGCCTAACAGCGAATAGCTGCCTCGTAATAGTGAATAGCGGCAGTTCGACCTAGGGGGTGAATCTTTTGTCTGGGAGTTTTGGCGAAATACAGTAGCGGTCAAAAGTGTTCGCCGAAACGATTTTTAGTGCATTATTTTTTCTCGCTTGAGCAACGCCCTCCAAAGATTGATATACTATGTTTCTAGTGTATATCCTCAAAGAATCAGGATGTTCAAAAGAAAAAATTTCGAGGCCACCATTGATTTTTCTGGCAAAAAAGAAGCACGGAAAACCGTTTTGGCGAATACTTTTGACCGGTGAAAATGTAGTTTGGGGGGGGCCTCATAATATCTAATCGAACTGACAATATCTAATCGAAGTGGAGCTGCGGAAGGGCGGTCATATCTAATCACCATCCAGAGCACAATCTCTCTGAGTGTATGATTAGATATGGATACCAACCCGGGTTCCATACAAATCGGATACCTGGAAGGCCCTTTCTCCGAGAGTTTGCATGGCAGTCGCAAGGTTTGGTGAAAGTGAAGAGCCAGCAGGGTAGCAGCCATTTTAGCCATAGAATTATGACAAGGGTAAGTGTGCTAGTCGTAGGCCACAGTTTCAGTGAAAGATATGATAAGATATAAGTGCCTTCCCGCAACTCTACTTTGATTAGATATAGGTGTCTTTCCGCAGCTCTACTTCGATTAGATAGGGTGGCCCCCCCCCGAACTACATTTTCACCCTTATTTTACTGCATGAATTCGAGCGACTGGTGAAACTTGCCGCCTCCCTTGTTCGTTGCACCAAGACCGCAATACTTTGGTCTTTTCTCAGTTTGCTGGAACTTATGACTACCAAATTATATTGTGTAGGCCACCTACCTCCCTCATTACTCAGTTCGCCGGGGATTTTTTTCAACCTGTGTTCCGTCCCTGAACGAGTTCGTTTTTATTCCATGTAAAACCATGCCTTCTTATAGCGCGACAGCGAAGCATAAATTGTATATTAACCATGCCTTAACTGAGCTATACTTCGAAGAGCATATTCGTTATATAGAAGTTAAAGTATGCTTGAAATTAAGATGCTTATTAACACGTTGACGACAACGCGAGTTTTGGCACTTTTGGCCACGTGGGACCACGGCGTTTTTGCGAGCGCCGCCGCCTCAGGTTGTTCAAGCAAATTTTGAGTGATAAAAACATAAATAATGATCAATACAAGGCCAGATCAATATATTGTAATGAGCACAACCTACTCGGAGGTACAGTAGCGGAATTTCTATTGAAAGACATGGAATAACAATGAAAAAGTGATATTCTTTAGAACAAGCTGCAATGAACTTCAAAGGCAATTTTAAGTTGATTATTTTAATCAAAACACATATATTGTCATCTCTAAGGTACCGTATCTACTTCTACTACTATTTAAACCTTCACATTCATAGGAAGAAAAAGTAAACGAAAAATTTATTAGGCTGAAGATTTCGTATGGTTCAGAAATCCTCCTCTAAATTGAAGCATACGTGACCATTCTATGGACCACTATGTTTTTAGCTAGGTCAAGGTCTCCTCCATTCAATAATTACAAGAAACTTCTAGAAGAACCAGGCGTGCGCGAAAAAAATTAGTGTAATGGGTGCGGGGGATATATCCCCCGCACGGTCCGACACGGCCTGCAATGCGCGGGATATATATCCCCCGCGTTGTCGTCAATGTGTTAAAATTAGTAGAAATAATAAATATAAAAAATTGCTACATACTAGCTGTACTTGGTTATCGCAGAACTCAGACGTTCCGAACAAATTGTGGACTTTCATCCCTGTTTTTACCCTGCTATAAACACTTTCGATTCCAGCCGGACTTTTTATTACCTTGTTACCTTTGTCATGTGGCAGCAATCAATTGTACTTGACTCACCAACCGCACACTGGTTTTTCTTGTAAACGCGGCTAAAGATTAGTTGTAGATATATAAGAAATAATAAAACTGATGTACGAAGACCGTAAGGTAAGAAGTCACTTGACATTTTTTCTGATTAAATTTTGTTACAGCATAACGGTAAAATTTACTAACATATAATCGCCACATAATTACTCACTACAAAGTCCCAAGTCAATTACATTAGGTCGGCTCGATCCCCTTCTCTCAGACCGGGTCAAGGTGACATCGGTCGACGGTGCTCAAGGCACGTCGAGGATTCTTGCCTGATCCAGTCTCAGATCTCCCGCGCCGTACATCCACACTCTTTTATGCCGAGCGCCTCCGGTATGCCACTGTAGATTCCTGCTCACACTCTCTCGTTAATGTACTAGAGCATGGTCGAAAAACTCCTCGACCGTTATTCACCCTGCTTGAGAAGACTGGGGCTTAGAGAACGACCGAGACGGGCTTTTATCCACCCATTCCACGATAACGCCAGGCCCCATATAGCTGGAAACCTCTCAAAAATTGTAAGAGCACGGTTCCCAGCTTACCCTTCCCCTTCACTGAGATTGCCCTCCCCCTGAAAACTACCTATATCACCATCCTATGGCATTCCTAGCTAAGAAAAAATTCACCAAATTTGAAGAACTTGAAAGGGCGGTTAGCGATTTATTTGACTCTCACCCTTCTCATTTCTGGGAGGAGGGATCGCTGATCTGCCCCACACTTCAGTGAGTGAATACATGCTAGCTCTATTGTTCTGACACTTCTGATAGAGTTGATGACACAGTTTATCTCCGTAATCAAAACCATACAAACAAGTACATATTAATAAACTATATGTGATAAACATGTACACGTTACCGCTGGAGATTGTGAATGGATACTCCGTCAAGTGCCAGGTAGCTGGCCAACAGAGAATGCACTCGCACCTCCAGCGCACCATTTAGAGCAAAAACTTGATTTTCTATCCAGGATTATAGTTTTGCTTTTTGGTACGGCTTGAACAACGACTTGAGCCTTAGGGCTTTTCCACCCACTCCTTTAAGTTTCATTTTTCCAAGGTAGTACGCCTAAACCACGCCATTTCAATCCACCTTATACAATCTATGCGTTATGATTCACGAGATTATTACCTGTTCCGGTCTCAATTTTCCTTCGACAATTTTTATGAAATCTTTTTCCTTTATGGTGACCTCGACCTCACACGGCTGCTCATTGTGACCCACGTAAGCTGGAAGTTTCTGGAAACGAAAGAAACTGATTACGAGCTACTAGTGCTTGCATGATATATACAAGTGATACAGCTAACTATGAATTGCTCAAAAACTCGTACTGAAGAAAGTTTCTAGAAAAGTGTGAAAAAGAAAATGTGTCAAATGTGATCGCAAATCTGAACATCAGCATTAAACTTCAGGTTGAAAACAAAAATTTTCCACGTTCATTTTTTTAGAAACGGTCTTTTTCGGCCTCAAAATTATACGGCCACCTCATATTTATCCGCTGTTTTTTATTTCCTCTCTCATAAATTACGTTGAGCAAAAATTATCCTCCGTTTTTTCAGGCTCATGGCACTTTGATTTTTTGCTGATTATATTCGAAGATCATGATGTGGTCTGAAAGCGCGCAATCTCGTTACATTTTGATGTCACATTTCGAACCCCTTCTATCTCATTGGAAAATTTTAAAAAACAGATTTCCAAAAAACTTGTAAATTACATGATTCCCTAGTTTTTTGAGATGCACCTGTTTTGTCTGCACCATATACAACAATATCGATCATGGAGCTGAGATCGTGACGTTCGGGTTGAACAAAGCACACATTATGACTCTGGTCAAGGAGTGTCTAAATTGCAATATATTCAAGTGGAGTGGGCGCTACTTCTCACAAAACGAGGACTTGCAATGGGCCAACGTCTAGCACCTGTCCTAGCTATCTGCTTTATGGGCAGAATAGAAAGACCAGTGATAGCACGCATGCCCATTATGTACTGTCGATATATTGATGACTGCTGCGTAATTACTTCAACACAACTCGAAATGGATGAATTATTCAATATACTCAATCAACAATCACAGTACATAAAGTTCACTAGAGAAGCTCCACACAATGGTTGGCTACCTTACTTGAATACACAGATAAAAATCTCGAATGGAAGGTATAGTGTGAAGTGGTACCGGAAAAGCAGCTCAAAGAACATCTTACTCCATGCAAAGTCTGCACACCCCACAGCTGTAAAAAACGCTGTTGTTCGGAATATGTACAAAACAGCTATTGGAGTTTGTACGGGCAACATGGAGCGAGATGAGTCTCGCAAGCTAGCCGCTGTCATTGCGAGGATGAATGGCTACGAAGAACAAAGAAGATCAGGCTCACAAAGGTATTCCGCGAGAAATCGCGAGGCGTCACACGGGCGTTCCGCGCGTAGTCGCGAAGACATTGCACATCTCCAATTGCCTTTTATATCAGATAAAGTCAGCGCAGCTATACGCCAGTGCATAGTAAGAGCAAATTTAGCCAACGACGTCGTTTTGATCAATATACCAGGGGAAAATATCAAACGACAATTAATCCGCAATAGGCTATACGACCGAGCATGCACGGCCGACGACTGCGTAATTTGTCCGTATGGAAGGCATGGAGACTGTGCACAACGAGGGACAGTATACCAACTCCAGTGCTTAACCTGTAACGAAGTTTACATCGGAGAGACGGGCAGAATGTTAGCGATACGCGTTAAAGAACATCTTACAGGAAAAAGGCGAGGGAACCTGATTACTCCACTTGGAAAGCACCGGTTAGAAGATCACCAGGGCAATGATTTTAATATTGAGTGCAGAATCCTCGCCCGCGAGGATGACGTTGGTGCTAGAAAGATGTTGGAAGCGTTCTATATCCGCGCTCGTAATCCAAAGTTAAATAACCGGAATGAATGCATTGCCATTACAAATGAATTCCTGCCTTTCATTCCTTTATGTGGAATGTGAGATATTCACATATGGCACGTATGACGCTTCACTGTCATGTGTGTCTCATTTTTCCGCATCTATTGACGACTTTGGGTGGAGTGGCGCTGGTGGAACTGCAAGGTTGGTTTCCTTAAATGAATCTTGCCTCTACTTGTCACTCTTGAGTAGTAGAGTAGTACTGTGGGGCTTGACCGGGTAAATTACAAGCTAAAACTTCCAACCGACTTCAGGTCCTGAAGACGACGAGTTGTTCGAAACGTCGCAGCGAATAAATATTAGGTACCGGATATCTTAGTGTCGCTTTTCTGAGTTCAGGAAGTTTTGGGGCCGATTACTATGGAAAATCAATATCTCAGAAAGTCCTTTTTGCTCATTAATACTGCGAAATATGTTGCTTATTGTTTTCTATTGTTGGTTCACAATTTAACTTTCCCCAATTTTTATACTTTTTTTGAAAATTCCCTGGGTCCAGTGTGCAAATTCGCATGTGTGTACCAAATGCTTCAAAATTCTTGCTGAGAGCTACAACTTCCGCCCACCAAACCAACATTGCATTTTTCGGAGAGGAATACTACCATTCAAAATGCGCCTCGGTTTTTCGCAGTTTTCTCAAAAGATAGTGAGGTCTTTGAAGTGACGCCCACAATCGTCGTCAAAAAGGTGGCCCTAGTTAAATCAGTCGAGACGGGGCTGCACCAGTCTTGTGCTGAAATGGTAGGACACCTTAGCAGTGACTGATCGATGATGCACAAACGCTTAACGAAGTTGATTGCACAAGAAATTCTAATAAATGTGCTCATCTGCTACTCACGTGTGCTCAAAAAGGGTGCGTTTTTGACCCTATGTGGCAAAAAAGACTCCGGGAAAAATTGTCCAGTTGAGCTGGTAAGTTATAACTTTTCCACCATACAGTGCAGACCCTACTCTAACTAACTGTATACTTCTTTTGTCCAGGCCTAACTTTTTAGCAAGTGAGAGGGATGATTTGTCAGATGATGTCAAAACCGACCTACCTCTCTTTTTCGACTCAAAAAATTCCTAGCTTTAATCCGTACGAGGTTTCCACTCATACCGGTAAATGGGAAAAAGCTAACGAGTCATTCGACGAGTATGCTGTTTCACTACCCGGATTATAAGTTAAAATATTGGTGGTCCATAACTCGTGGAAAAAACGACATAAGATATCAGGTACCTAAATAGAGTTCATCGTAACAACCTGTATGGCAGAAGAAAAACAAGCAATATAACAATATCGTTACTGTGTAGCTTGTGAATCGATTGTCTAGTTTTTCGTTGAATGAGTATTGTATTCTAATAATACGCCTTCAGTTGCCTTATGTAACGTATTAATAAACAATAAACAAAACAAAAAACAATGTACAACATCGGTGTATTTACTTCACTTGGAGCTTACACGTGAGAAAAAAGATTGCTCATGCTACATGAGTGCAAGTTGAGCTCGAAACCGAATGCTTCTGCATCTGCTCGTAGAATCAATGAAGCCTGGGATGAAGGCACGGTTGCAGAGAGGACTGTTCGAGAGCGTTTGTTGATTACGCATTTATTGTTGTTTTTGTTTGGTTTTGTTAATAAACTTATGAGTGAAATGAAAACGGCGGATAATTTTTGTTCAAGTCTAATATCTGTTGGACGTATCGGTTTTTGTTCTACATGTTGTCACGAAAAAAATTACTGTTTGACTTTGAACATTATGAGAAAAGCGCACAATTTCACCAAGCCGTGCTCAGAATTCGAGTTTCTTCTCAAATTAATCTCCCAATAAAAATTGTATGGTGTGCGCTGAAGAGATTTCAAAATATCCTTGAGCGGAGCATGGGAAATGCATTGTTCGTCATGAGAAAGCGATGCGAAAATCTAGTCATTTTTGCTAAAAATATTTGCTTACTCGAGCGGTGCGTGGTCAAATTTTTGCCTCGATCCAGTTTGCTTTTCTCTCAAGGTTTTTTCATCTAATACAAAAATCGTGTGACGCTCTAGGATATTTATGGCAAAAGACTCGAAAAATTTTACAAAAGATTTGCAGAAATTTTGCAACTGCTTTCAAAAGTTTAGAAGCCTTTTTGGCAAGCTTTCGGCGCTCAGCGCTTTTTTCAATCCTTGAAATACGTGCTGAAATAGATTTATAGTAAGATTATGCTTCATTAAGTATATGGTGAACTATGGATATATGGGACTTGACTAGCTGCCGCTCACGAACGTTAAATTCTTATCGCATTGTAGCTGGTCCGTGGGGCAGAAAACTATCAAAAATAAATCAAAAAAATAGAAAGAAAGCTAAGCCAAAAAGGCGCCTAGATCTGAAAGCCATTGCCAATACTTTTGCAAATCTTTTGTAAAAAGTTTTTAGCAAATTTTTTTGTAACGATTGTTTTGGAGCCTCACATTGTTTCAATTCATTTTGAGAAGTATGAAGAATTTGGGAACAAAACCTGTAGCGTCAATATGGAAGCTTCACTCAAATGACTCTGCCGACAAGGGAAAGCCTTCATGAGGAATTAATTATTAATTATAGTTATTAATTCTTTCGAATTAATAACTCGAAAGAAAAGCGGATGAAAGTATGTATGCGTAAGTGGCATGAAATTGAATAACGGTTCACATCGGATTGTGGAAATTGTTTTGTTAGTAAAAATGACGGAGATGTTCAGCATCCTTCACCATCACGGATCTTTCTACAATGCTCCTCCCGAGGACATTTCAAATTCTCTTCAGCACCTATCATAATATTTTCATTAGGAGAATAAGTTGATAAGAGGACTCGAACTCTCAGCATGGCTTGGTAAAATTGTACGCATTTCCCATGATGCCGTGGTCATCTTAATCAAAAATCGGAGAGGAACATCTAGAAATCTCTTCAATCTCATATCATATAATTGAGATCCTGTAAATATGTGATATTCATTAACCTGGGCCACAAATCTCGTTCAGTGGTGACTGCCTGACGTATCCTTCGCCTCCTTTGTAGAAAATTGCCATTTTTCAAGTCTGACAGCAATTTTCCTACTGTGATAACGTTTTTATTTTTTATTTTTATTCGAATGGCATGTGGTGTACAACAATGCAAACGCAAAACAAACAACTGTCAAAGAGAGTAGAATCAGCTAACAAGGGAAGGATGGTAGGTCGAAGTGGCCGTTCGAAATGAAATGTATACCTCCTGATGCGTCTCCAGACGCTGATTCCAAATCTGCCTTCCAAATCTGCTAAACGGCTCTCCGAACGGAGTTATGAAGCGTAATAGCTCAGTGGTGATGGTCCGGGGTGGCAGGTAAAAGCTCGTAGGATCGGTTCCTTTGCAAGTTTGTTGCTTTGCTTTTGTCCGCAACACTTCTAGAGACAAAAGCAAAGCAACCAATTTGCAAAGGAACCGATCCTACGAGCTTTTACCTGCCACCCCGGACCATCACCACTGAGCTATTACGCTTCATAACTCCGTTCGGAGAGTCGTTTAGCAGATTTGGAAGGCAGATTTGGAATCAGCGTCTGGAGACGCATCAGGTGGTATACATTTCATTTTAACGGCCACTTCGACCTACCATCCTTCCCTTGTAAGTAATGAAAAAGTATTAAAGTCGCCAGCGTTGCTTCTATGAATGGGTTGAATGACTTCGGCTAGGAAAACATATCAGAACGCAAAAGGGAGGTAAAACATGTACGTACTCGTGACTGAAAAACTTTGACCTGCATTGAGTCCTAGCTGTAGTACCCAAACCTCGTAGTGTGACTGCCTGACGTGTCCTTCTCCTCCTTTGTAGAGAATTGCCATTTTTCACATCTGACAGCAATATTCATATTGTGATAACATGACGAAGAAAACCTGATAACTTTAAACAAGTTCATCGAGAGAAAATGAAACAAGAATGCGACAAAGACGTGTCCTTCTCCTCCTTTGTAGAGAATTGCCATTTTTCAAGTCTGACAGCCACTTTCCTATTGTGATAACATGAAGAAGAAAAACTGATAACTTTGAACAATTTTATCGAGAGAAAATAACACGGACAAATATGTATGAGATGGTTTCTCATTTTGAAACGTGGAAAAAACGATCTGAATTGATGAACAAAAATCTCTCTGGTTGCCTTCGACCTGATAATTGATGGTAATACTCGAATTTGCCCCATATTTGACACATTTTTTACCCCAACTTTTTTCACAAACATTCTGTGTTACGAGTTTTCGTGCAATTCATAGGTGGCTGTACCATTACTGTACGCAGTATACAACATTCGGCAGCAATGCTGGCGAGGAGCTAGTTAGCTAAAGCGCACCTTGGTGTCAACTATCCACGTTTTCACAGTGCCATCGTCATGCTTGATATTGATCTTGAACGAGGAATGGATTTTTCTGGCAAGACCTTCATCCTGAAAGTGCATGGTTGTAAACTCACACAGACAGTGAATCTTCTAATAGTAGACCAGTTGAGTGTGGAGTCAGCGCAGTGGCTGGGCGAGTTTATTCCAACTGCCCCATTTTCTAAGCGCGCATTATATAAGGTGCCCGTCACAAGAGCACCTGAACTCATTCCATAACTCCAAATCAAGCCGATGTGCGTACGGTGGACAAAGGGATCAGGGAGGTAAGGTGGCGTGGAACTTCTTACTCCAGCCCAAGAAACTGCAGCTAATAAAAGAGTGTACGTGCAGGCCAGACCAAAAACGAAGACCTGTGCTACCGTTGTGTGCCCGCAGTTTCAAACAAAGGAGAAATTGCGAAATGCGACGCTTACGCAGGCGTCAGACTTCGCGCCACGAAGTTCGAGAGGCGATCAATGGTTGGCTTATGGATTCGCTAGCGAATCACGTAATTCTCTAGCGATTGTTCACAAAACACCTACCTGCCCCAAGACGGAATGAAGCAGAACGTGAAGATCGCCGTATCCGTGGCATAGTGCGGCTGGACTAGTGTGGATTCGTAAGCGGCTGTGGAACCGTAAGTGCAACACATGCTGCGCAAATTGCTAGAAAAACACTCGCGAGCAATGAAAGCAGCTGCATTTTGCCTTCTTAGACT